TCGTAAGTAAACAACATGGTTTATATCTACTTGACAATCTTTAGCTTGGTTTAAAAACCATGTGTTTTATTCCTCTTAATGGAAATTGGGGGTAAAGACAGAAGTTAAAAGCTTGGATCTTGGAGTCAGGTATTCTGAGATAACATCTATTGTTATGATTAATTAGGCAAATTAAAAGTAGGTTAATCCAAAGAGTTAAAAATTTCTATTCTTCAGGCTTTTCTGAATTCCACATTTTCTTTTACCTTGATCCAAAGGTTATTTTACCACCCCACCCACCCCTTTTTTTTGGCTTTTTTTTTTTGCTTCTTTGTACTGATTAATGTATTCAGATGCCCCAAAACTAGGAAGACCATATGTGATCAAATGAAATCTTCTGCCTTAATGCCCAACTTCTGGGATATTTTGTCTATAGAACTCTAAATAACAGAATTGGTAGGAAATAATTGACAGAAAGCTAATGAAGAATAAGTATCTGCATTTCCTTTTACCCTCAAGGCAGGGTAGGGGAGAACATGACTTCCAGGCCTCCCTATTAATCTGTTTGCTCTTTTCATCTTTGGCCATGGAAAACCTCCTTCTTGATCTCAGATTGGCCACCCAAATCCGTGCTCCCCACCATTCATTAATTTGATCTCCTCAAATACAGCTGCAATCTAGTTTCTTTGAATTCTTCTCCCTTTGCTGTACTTGTTAGAATTAGACTCTAAGTCCCTTGAGGCATGACTCTTTGTCTTTCATATATAATTCTTTTGGCCTTGTGCTAACATCAGAGTTTTAAACACCTAACGTTATAAAATTGATTTTTATGTTTAAGTGGCAAAAGTACACTTGCAAGGGGATGAGATGATACCCACCAAGACACAGTACTAAAGATACTTGATCACATTTTGTCTTTCAATGAACCTGAAATGGAATCCTGCCTCTGTTTTACAGACGAGTCTCAGAAAGAGTAGTGGCCTGGCTTCACTTTAAATCAGACTTTTGCTGATGTCAAAATTCTCACATGTTTTCTACATTACATGTCTCAAATATCTACTAGAAATAACTGAATTCATTCAAAATCCAGTTAGTACTGATCCTTAAATTCTTCATAGTTGTAAAACTCAAATTTTATGGCTCAACACCCTATAAATCAAGCATTATGTAAAGGTAAATGCAAAATATGAATGTTCTATTGATATGGTAACTCAAAATGTACTAAAAATACTTTGAGACGTGATTAGGACCCCAGATTAAATATTAATTTGGCAAGAATCCTCTAAGTTAGGTTGGATCAAAGAGGTTCTCAAGTTATCTAGACGCATTATACCCATGGGCCAAATCATTCTTTTTACCAAAGAGGCAGATCCTATTTTTTATTGCATAACTTATATTTTTTAAAGATTTATTTATGTATGCATACAGAACTGGGGTACAGGCTAGAAGTGCAGGTTTCATCAGAGGTTTCACCAGAGATACAGTGGGGAGCAGAACAGCCAGATTGACATAGTACACTGCTGAGGGGAGCAGCGGGCCAGACAGGAGGTCTGCTGTGCCACATGGGTCATCTGCCTGGGTGGGAATCGAACTCATGCTGAAGTGGCTGCAGACAGCTCCACAGTGCTGTGCTTTAACCTGCTGTGCCACACAGTAGGGCCCTGCATAACTTATTAATGGAAACTATGCATTTGTTGGCACACACAGCTTATCACACCTTGGAACTGATCACTTTCATCTCCTGCTCCGCATTGGTGTTCAACTGATACTTGTTTCCATAACAGCAATTGCTGAAAATCTAGGTACATAAAGAAATGGAGTCATCAAAAAAAAAAAAAAAAGTATTGTATGGTCTATGTTGAAACTACTATTTGAGTACAATCAGAAAGGTATCTGACAGATGTTGCTGTTTCTCCCCAACTTTAAAACACCCCACGGTGCACCTGTGAGTTCAGCGGAGCTGGTGGTTCAGGAAAAGGCTTGAGAAAATCTTTTCTTCTTCTGGCACCCTTTTCTCCTGTTTCTTTTCCCTCCCTTCCCTCTCTTCTTTATTTTTTGGTTTGTCTTATAAATGATACAACCTCTTCAAGCTTCACTCACAACTCTAATTCTCTCTCTACGCCATCTTACAATATAAACTGAAGTTTTCAACCTCGACTGAAATCAATAGGAAAGTTTATGTTTTCAGTGAACTTGTGGAAAGCTGATGTCTAGACACATCTTACCGGTGACAAATGAAAGTTCTTACCCCTCAATTTTTTATATGCTCCTGCTGACAATCTCATACTTGATTTTGAAGAGAAGACACAAAGCAAGAAGGAGGGAGAAGAGCTTGATTAACAAATGTTTATTTAGGATGTGCATCAAGTGCCACGCACATTCTTGGAGCAGGAAAGCATGGAACAAAGGGTTGGGATCCCTGAAAACTTAGGCATGACATGATTAATGGCAGGGGTCAAGGTTAGTTTCAAGATATGGGACAAGCAGAGAGAGTAGAGCATTGGAGCATAGATTTGGGAGAGAGGCTGTACTCAAGTTCTGCATCTTAATAAATTTAACCTTTGCAAATAATTTAACCTTGAGGATTTGATTTTTCCCCAGTAAAAATGAGGAAAAATAAATAATACTTTTGTCAAAGTTGCCTTTCAGACTGATTAACGTTTGTAAAGTGCACATCATGATGCCACATATATGAATGGTCATCAATATTGTTATCATCATTACTAAAGCGGGCTGACCCGCACCAGGAGCTAGCAGAGACAAGGTTTGTAATGGAATATAAAATGTACAGAGAGAAGAAATATTGGGGGGATGGTGGTGTTCATGTCAATATGTCAACAAATGGAGTATATGTAGAAATCCATTCTATGTGGATAAAAACACTTATGAAAAGCATTTGGTTTTACTAAAGCTGAAAAAATGCAAATGCCTCAACCCAGCATTCCATTTCTAGATGTGTTCATCACACAAGTGCTTATATATGTACCAAAACAGATGTTCAGCAGTATTATCTATAATAGCCAAAAAGGTAGAGAAACAATTCAAATGCAGAATGGGTAAGTACTAAAGGATATATTCATACAATGAAACTTTATTCCATGTGAAAAAAAAAATACAATAACCTGGAATCATTTCACAAGCAATGATGAGCAAAATAAGGTAGATATATAATAGCATGTTCTTTATGATGCCATTTATAAAAATTTCATGACCAAAATAAACTGTAAGAAATAACGATAATAATGAACTTTGGGGGGAAGGGGCCAAGGTTAATAATTAGGAAGGTATATGGGGAACTTGATGGTTCTGGTAACAAAATACAATGTTTGGGTTCACTACTTGAAAATGCATCTAACTTTCTCATGATTTATGTATATTTATATGTTTGTTTTACCTGAAGACTTGAAGGAAAAAAATGCCAACCAATCAAAATACTGATCTCTCACTATAGACTGAGTGCCCCCTGCCACATTCATATGATGAAATCCAATCCCCAAAGTAATGGTATTAGGAGATGGGGCACTTATGGAAGATTATCAGCCATGAGGATGGTGCCTTCTTAGTGACATGAGTGTCCTTGCAAAAGACATGGCACTGTCCCATCTGCGATGTGAGGGCACCATGAGGGGTTGCCCACGATCTAGGAAGAAGATCCTCACAAAATACTAAATTTTACACTGCCTTCACCTTGGACTTCCCAGTTTCTAGAACTCTGAGGAAGTTTATAAGCCACCAGCCTATGGTGTGCTGTCATAAGAGCCTGAAGGAGGTAAGACAAATCTCTTCACACGGTTACTTAGTGGAGAGAATTTAAGAAAAAAAAAAAAAAAAGACTTTGGTGTGTAGGAAAAACATAAGAAAAAAATGAGTCACAACAATAGTTGTGTTTACAACCTGCAGGTTATTTGTCCGATCATAGTTAACTGTATGCCTCAGGAGAAGATCGTTATCTATAACAATTTCCAGAACTCAGTGGCATAATGCAACAAAAGTTCCTTTCTTGCTCATTGACACATGTCCAACACATGCTGGACATCATGTTCATCTGGGGACCCAGATGGAGGGAGGCTCCATTCTGTTACCTGGGTTCACAATCATGGGGAGGAGTGCAAGGCAGATGGGACAAGGTTTCTCCATACCCATGCATCAAAGAAAGACAGAACTGTCTCACTGTCATTTCACTGGCCACAGCAGGTCACCTGACCTGGGCCTCCCACTACAGGGCTAGGAAATGGGCTGTGAGCTAGAAAGGGGCAGGAAGGCAACGAGCTAGAAAGGTGATATACTGAGGAGCACACTTGACCCTAGAGCTACCAGGCAGAGTCCTGTCCATATAAGGACTGTGTTAAGGGCACTCACCCATCTTTCTCTTCACCCCTAGCTGTAAGTCATGGGGGGGGGGGGACCACAATCTGGATTTCCTGGCCATTGATACCCTCCTTGTCAACAAGTCATTAATATAGTGACTGATACCATGTAGGCTCCATTCCCTGGTATGGACTAGAAGAGAAGGGAATTGTAACCTAACTGTGGGTAAGTTATAGTCAATATGGAACAAGGAGAACACGCTATGATTGAAATCATATGGAGAGTCCCTACCACAGTTAGTGAGGGGCAATGGGGGTGTCAAGAGGGTTGTGTGTGTCATTCTTTTACAAGAAGAAAAACTGAAGGATGGAGAATGGAACAGAGGGGAGGAAAGAAATAGAATAGGTAGGAGGTGGGGAGGGATAAGAATAGGAAATGAAGTGAGGGAAGAGGAAGTAGCTTTCAATCAGTGGCAGGTGCAAAACTGTTCTTAGGTCCTATGTTGTGGAACTCTAGCGGATCTAGGACTTTGGATCATACTTTCACCTCTTAAATCCCCAGATTTAAGTTTATAAGTTATAAGTACTGCACTGGAGAAACTCATTATGTTTATTAACAAAGAAACACCTGTGCTTATATTTCAAGAAAGGAGGTCTGGGTAGGCCCCCCCCCCCCCCCCCCCACCCCTGCCAACACTTCTCCCTATTCCCACAGTGAATTGAGGAGGGCTTCAAATGCAAGTTCAACTGATGGACTCCTTGAAGGAGTTCTGATACATCCTTCGTATTTTGCATGTAAATTCCTCTCCAAAGCACATACCAGAGAAATGTGCTAACCCCAAAGTTTTATGTTTTTAACTCACCAACTGATGACAAAATTAAATTTTGAGTTCCTTAAAAGGCATATAAAAGCTGAAAATATTTGAGATGAAAGGAAGCACTGAACAGGAGCATGAGTTTAAAGTTGAAACAAGGCTCCTGGCAATCACAGAGCACTTGATTGTGCCTTGACAATCCACAGCGTTTACTCTAAATTCTCATAGACATAAGGCCAGCTTATCACACAAATTCCTTTTATTGTTAAAGAAGTCACTTTGTTCAGTGAAGGTCAGTGATGTCAGGTAGAAATAAAAACATCTAATATAATCAATAAAAAATGTCAGGAAATGGGCTTAGCTTGTTTTAGACAAATCCAGGCTTTGCAAATTTTCAGGTACTAAAGAAGTGGGTGATTCCTTGAGTCTCAAAATGGTCCTGTGATTGGCAGACTCACCCTGTGCATTCCAAAAGCATTTAAGTTCCAAAAACAGTTTTCATCATAAACTTTTCAGAAACACATCTGCTGTGAAAAATAAGATATTTGTGGCATTGGGTCTCCAAACAAGGCATAAAAAGAAGATACACTTTAAAGTGTTTATGAAAGACTGAAGATTCTTCCCACACAAGGAGAAGCTGACCAGAGAGACTCTGCATTTACGTTCTGGCTTGAAGACGGGAGATTTTTTACTTCTCTTGCTAAAAATAAGCCAAACATAGCTTAACTTAAAAGATATGCCATGGCCACCATTACTAGGTTTTAGGTCAAGGAACCAGTGGCTCAAGTCCATGCGAGATGGTGGTGTCATTAAAAAGTGTGGCCAGAGAGGAGGCAGTGAGACTGGTACAAATTACTGCCCTTTGAGAACTGATGTGATCACTTTCCTGTTCATTGAAGACTTAAATGAGAGGTTTATTCTTCTTCACCGATGTTTCATTTAGTTGTGTTTTAATCGTAGACTTTGAGAAAAAAAGCAAAGAGCAGGGCGCACAGAGCCAGGCCCACAGAAGTCCCAAGAGCGCAGTGATGATGCAGCCTTTGCAAGTGCAGCGCCATTCTAGAACTCACAGAGTGGTGTTGATTTGCAGCAGCTGCAGGACCTGGTGGACTCGGGTGATTCCCAAGCCTACTTCTGAATTCCTGTGGAGAAAGAAGCACAGAGGGGAAAAATATTTTAAGATGCACAAGGAGTCCCAATGCAGTCATTTTTATTTTTTTTTTATTGTTGAGATATCATTGACATATACTGTTGCATTAGTTTTAGGTGTACGACATGATTGAATTGCACAACATAATAATGAAAACCATAAAAAATCTAGTTGACATCCATCCCCACACACAGTTACAAAATGTATTTCTTCTGATGAGAACCTTTAAGATCTATGCTCCTAGCAAAGTTTGAGTATTGGGGGTATTTTTAGTCAACATGTTGCTAACTGTAGCCACCATGAGAGATGTGCAGCTACTGGACTAATTTTATAACAGGCAGTTTCTACCTTTTGGTCATCTTCACCCATTTTGGCCATTCCTCAGCCTCCAACCTGCAGCAACCACCAATCTCTTCTCTGTAAGTTCAACTTTGTTTTTTTAGGATCCACATGTGAGAACAAAAATATTTGTCTTTCTCTTCTTCCTATTAGCATAATGTCCTTGAGGCCCATCGATGGTGTCACAAAAGGCAAGATTTTATACTTATTTATGACGGAATAAATCATTTAATAGTCATCTGTTCATCCATTTATGGCCACTTAGATGGCTTCCAAGTCTTGACTACCATGAAAAATGCTGTAATAAACAAGGGGTGGATACCTTTTGGAGTTAAGGTTTTCATATCCCTTGGATCAATATCTATCCAGCTTTGTTTGGAACAGTTGAAGCATATGGTAGATCTATTTTTAGTTTTTTGAGCTATCTCCACACTGTTTTTTATGGTGGTTTCACCAACTTATATTCCTCCCTCTTTTGCCACACCTTTGCCAACACTTACTACTTCTTGTCTTTCTAGTACTAGCCATTTTAGCAGGAGTGAGGTGGTGTCTTACTGTGCTTTTGAGTCGCATTTTCCTGATGATTAGGGATGCTGGGCTCCCTTTCACGAACTGTTAGCCATCTGTATTTCTTCTTTAGAAAAATATCTATCAGATCCTCTGCCCATTTTCTTTTTTATTTTTAATTCCATTTCTTTTTATTTTTGCATAGAATAACTGGGGTGCAGGTCAGAGGCATTGGGAGTGAGAGGATTCATGAGAGACAGAGCCGGGAGCAGAATAGACAAGTCTACTGAAATAGACTGCTGAGGGGAGCACCGGTGAGACAGGAGAGGTCTGCTGCACCATATGTGGGTCAGCTCCCTGGCTGGGGATCGAACTCAGGCCTTAGCAGTGTTAGGCACTGGGACTTAATCCCTAGAACACTAAGGAGGCCCTCTGCCCATTTCCTTAACTGACTTGCTTGTTTTCTTGCTATTGTATTGTATGAGCGTTATACATTTTAGATGTAAACTTACTAGATATCACAGAAGCTTTGCAAAAATTGTTTCCCAGTCAGCACATTGTCTGTTGTTTTGTTGATGGCTTCCTTTGCTGTGTAGAAGTTTCTTAGTTTGGTGGAAGGAGGAGCAATTATATACTTACTCCTTCAAAAGAGAGACATTTAAGCATCCATATGGGTCAGGGAGCCCCAAGTTAGGTCTAGATAAATCAATGTTCCCTTCTTTGAAGGATCAGAACGAGATCTTGATTTTTCAGATTATACACAAACTATATGAGAGAAGATAGTGTTTATGGAGAACCAAGGCAGAATTTCTTGAAGGGTGGGGTTTATGTAGACTGGAGTCATACTATAGACAAGTCTCACATTTAGGAATGACAACAGAGAACATGATGAGTAAAAAAACCACATGGAAGCCATTTTATTCAGCAAATATGTCTCCTAAATACCCCTCAGCTTATATCCCTAAAAGTTCCCAGCTTGGGTACTATTACAGGAAGGTGTGCTCCACCCCTGGGGGAGTAACGGGTCTGGGGGCCTAGAGAGACCCACCCTTCACATAGCCTCTTCCTTCACTGCTCTAATTTTCCACATGTGCCAGATCAGGAAATGGTTGGGAAATCTGCTGGAATGAGTGTGAGGGGTGGAGAGACAACCCCACACCTTCTTTTCAAGGGAAGAGGTGTCTGTTCCCTGATGGCTTTAGTGGGTGTTGGGGAAGGAAGGCGGGTACCTGACCAGCCACTCCCATGTTTCAAAATATAATTCTGATTCCATTACATACGGCTTCCATCTTATCACAGGTCTTTAACCGGTATCTCCCTGTTAAAATCAGAATAACATGTTGAGAGCTAGAGGTGGGAGGGGAAGGGGAACAGAGGTGGAAGCGGGCAACCCAGAGGCATTGCAGAAGGCACGTCTGTGGGAGAACAAGAAACCCACAGAAACGCAAAATATCCCTGGGCAACCATTTTCCTTTGCTCATTCTTCCCTCCCAAGCCCTCTTTCAATACCTTCTGTTCCTGCATGGGGAGTAGGGAGTGGCAGCTCACCCCTGCCCAGCAGAAGCACTGAAATGTGGAGTATGGAAGATAATCTGGCATGAGCGAAGAGTTGACTGAGGGACAAGAATGGGGGTGGAGTATCCAGTGCAAGTTGTGGTGCTATGTGAGGTGGGAGATGATGAGGACCTATGTCACCAGAATAACAGAAGGAGCGGAAAGGAGAGCGTGACAGACTTCTATGTAGAATCAAAAGGATTTGAGCAGAGAGGAGCAGGCTGTGAGAAGCACAGGGATTAGGCATGAGAAAGCAGAAACATTTACCACCCATTTCCCATCAGCTAATACGGACATGTGACAGATGCGGGAGAATTCTTTGACTTTCGGAAGCTGAATGCAAAATTCCAAAAGTGTTAGCCCCAAGGGTAAAGTCTTATCCCAATGGCATTCAAACCATCACTTGCTTCTGTGCTCCTCTGGTGTCTGGGCCAACTTCCTGCTGCTGTTCCTGAGCTGTGGGCCTCACAGAAGGCAGACAGCTGGACAGACTGAGCCAATTTCCCCCAAACGGGGAGGGTGGCAATAGTCAGAGTTCAGTGGTGCACCCAAATCTGCACCTTGCGGCCCCTCACCCCCTCACTTTCTAGATGGTTTTCTTGTGAGACTGGCTTTCTGCATTAGGTTTTGAGTTTGGAAATATGCTGACAAGCTTTCATATGCATTGGTTAAAAACAGCTCCAGGCTCCAAGGGGAGCACTTAAGAGAGACAGCAACCTTGTGAAGGAATGCAGCCCTCCTCTGGCTGACATGACAGAGCGATGTGAGTGCTTCAAAGCAGCTGGGCTGTCTTATGCATCTCCAGATACTTGTACCCTGTACAACTACAAGGAGAGAGCAGGACGCAGAAGTGATTAGCAAGGAATGAACGAGGTTGAGGATGAGATGTAACCCGTCCCAAACATGCCGCTGATGTCCCTCATGATCTTTGAGTCTGGAATGGATTCAGGGCCCCGCTGCATTTGAGTCATGAGCCGTTGCCTAGAGCCATTAAACCATCACTTATTCCTTAAGTTGGGGATTACAGGCCCAGATCTAAGAGGCTGATTCATTTCTCTTAGGATTGAGCTGAACGTTATGGAGTCACTGAGGGCTTTTAGAAGCTGATGAAGACTGGAGAGCGGAGGTGTGGTGCACACACCTGCACTCAGCCCTACTCTCACTGGTCCATGCTAATTCCCCCCCATCCAGACGTATCCCCAAGATGTCCTGGACCCTGATGCTTTCACTTTAAGAAAAAAGAAACTACAAAGTAGGTACAGGGCCCTTCAACTTAAGCTCTACTGGCCTCAGGGAAAATTCACTTGTGCCACTCTCCTCTCCTCCTCCCTGTCTGAATGCCGATCCTTGGTTCTGCACCTGCAGTGCCAGAAGCTGCACTCGAGAACATGAGACCCAAGCCGGGGGGCAGGCTGACCTGGCAGGACGAGGCCCGTCTGACAGCATCCTGCCTTGGCTTGGCCTGATAACTTACTCTGCTCTACAAAGCTGCAGTTGGGACTGTGCTTCAGGCCCAGGGTGGGGGAAAACAATCCTGACCTTTGATTAGAAAACTTCCCTCTCCCTCTTCCAACCCATCTGTGATAAACTTTCGCTCAAAATAGAAAAGGTGCCCGTTACACTAACATAGTGGACTGTCTGCATTGTGTTCAATGTAGTCATTCTTCCTGGGCCTTAACCCCCACCTACACACACCCCTTCAAGCATTTAACCCACTGGAGTGTAAGTGACCCAGAAGCTGCTAGCCTTTTCCTAGTGGACAAGGCTGCCTCCAGGAGCCACAGGAAGAGGAACAGCAGTCACAAGAGCCTGGTTCCCAGAGCCAACTGTCTCCACAAAATCAGGGGGGGTTAAAGGGGGCTGGAGGGTTAAGGGGGGCGGGGTTTGCGAGCAGGAGAGGGAAAATGCAGCCTCTCTCCGCCTCACAGAACCTCTTTTATTAGCCTCACGTTTTACCAATCAAGATCTTGATTCAAGGACTCTGATGATATGTTTTTAAATAGAAGACTGAAACAATAGTTTCTCAGAGGACAGAGTATTCAGCAGCAAGCTAGCTTTGCACATTTTGATTGCTACTACCACTGGGATACTGAAGGAAAAGTAATTTAGCAATACAGGATATACAAGGCTTTCTCATAAAGTGCAAGACAGTCAAACATGTAAACGTACGACTATAGCAGATTTCCACACAGAAGCAGCATTCATGAATAGGCAATAATGCGACATTTTCAAAATGTAATGACAATTAGAATTGCTTCTCTTTATCTTCTAGGAGAAATGATGAGAAATACCTACCTATAAACTAAAGGTCTGCATGGGGGGAGAAGGAGCCAAACAGGAAGGGTAGGAGGGAGGGGGAGAGAGGGAGAGAACAATGTATATCACTAACTTAAGAGAAAAATATTACGGCATCATGAGGGGGGAAGAGTGGTGGTGGGGGAAGGGGCGGGGAAAGGAAACCATTATGGCCACTGATTCTGGAAAGCAAATACAACAGGTTTCAACCTTCCCTAAACATCTTAGACATACTCAAAGTTATCAATTCCTTAAATTTAGGAATTTCTCAATCTACAGAACTCCACATAAAGGACA